CACTTTCTACACCCTTTGCTGAACCTTTTGGAATGCTGCTCAGACCCAAATCTAGGTCCCACACCTACCTTAGCCCCTACTTTAACACCAATTAGTGTCCATGTGTTAAGCATTCCAAGGGCTCAGCAATATATATCAATGTTATAGGGACGTCGCTGCTAACCGTGGGACCCCCCCCCCCCCTTCCATGGTTTCTTGAAGGGCCTCGTGCATCACGTGTTCGCCAGGCTGCGCCAGCGGCAGAAGAAGCTCAACGCCCCTCTGACGGCGTGGATGATGAGGTGGCGTCCTCGAAGAAGCAGCAAACGATCTCGGATGCTTATACCTCCCTGTTGCATTTGGGCTGGAAAGAAGCCCTGCAGCCAAGTCCCTTCCGGGGCTTGAAGTGTCTGAGTACCTCTTGATAGCTTCAAATGCGTGCTACCGTATTTTCGAACGGCCCAGAAGGCCGTCAAAGCAAATCGAATAATCTGAGCACCTGAGCAACGCTCCAAGCCGAGGCTGGCAGTAACCATTAAACAACAAAAAACCCTAAACCAATCATAGTAGTTTCCATCTTCTTTTCCATTATCCTTATATTACCCCTGTAAAACCGATTGGAAACCTCCTTTGGAAGCCTTGGCTCTGGGTTTAAAAGTCTTTCAGTCGCTCCCCAAATACATGCGCCGCAGATCCTGAGCCGAAGCCAAGGTGGAGGGGCTGTTCCAAAGTCCGGGAGTGCCCAGCGAAGGCATAGCTGCGAAGCGGGCTTAGCCCAAGAACAGTTTGGCACAGTTTTGGTCGCTGCAAGAGACCTTTGCATGAGAGGAAGTTGTTGAAGCTGTGGAATAGGTGGAGTTTAACGTATACAACAGTGTTTTTCAATGGGGTTTAGGTGGTATAGAACCTTTACACATCTTTTTCGTGTATCACTTTTTCCGAAATTCTGTTTCTAAGTTCACCAAGAGGAGTCAGCATCTCACATAAGGTTCTTGAAGTTAAGCAATGGAATAGGTAAGAGAGTTTCATTCATCACGGTCACATTTCTGGTCAATCAATGATGGTTTGCCTGGCGAGGTGAGCGAGGTCCCCCACGCCGGGGCCCAATCCAGCCGGCGCGTCTGCTCGCAACAAGTGGCGAGGTCGGTGAAGGATTTGTAGAATTCATAGTAATCCTCCACACAGAACAAAGTGGAAACCTTACGGCCTCCAAGCTCGTAGCTCTCAAACCCACAATGCCAAGAACCCTCAGCCCTCAGCCAAATGTCGAGATGTAAAGCCTGCCCAGGCCCTCTCACCATGGTTCTAGATGGATCCTGAGCGCCCCCAACCATGCTCGTGCTCATGTTGCATGGTGAGCTTTGTAGATCACATGCTGGCCCGTTTGCCAGGCAGATGTGCAATGTCAGTCCGATGCTATGGACGAGGCACGAGGAAGGGCCTGGAAGACCCAGAGGATTTTATGGAGTCTTGCAGAGTCTGCTCCACTGGGCAGCAAACGCCTCATGTCAAGTCCTAAACCTGTAAGCTGCTGTGCGTCAATCAAACTATAAGAAGCGCAGGTGGAGGAGCTGTTCCGAACTCCGCAGGGGCCTAGCGAAGGCGCCGCGGAGTAATGAAGAATGTCTGGAGTCACTAGGTCTAGGATCTTCAACTTCAGCAAAGAACGGATTGTGAGTTTTCTTTCCGACTCCCTTGCAGCTCAACTTGCCTGGCGAGGTGTCCGACCTCCCCCGCGCCTGGGCCCAGTGCAGCCAGCGCGGCTGCCCGCAACGAGCGGCGAGGTCCGGATCCCCACCGGCCGAGCGCAGGACGGGTGAGAAAACCAGAGCAGCCTGAAGAATTCAGTGGCCACGATGACGATCTGCTAACGAAGATCAGTTTGCATGGCCATTTGCATATGGTCAGATGAAACTGTGGCGTTTCACGTTCTCGTGTAGTGGTTTCAGACGGAAGGTCAGCACTGATCCTCTCTCAAGAAAAGACTACCTCAGATTAGTTGCCTCAGTACTTCCAATGCAGGAGCTGCACTCAAAAGAAAGCTTTGATGGCGTGCTGCCTGGCATGCTAGACTGAAAGCCGAATTTCGCAGCTCTTCCACTTCAGACTTTTTGACAGTGGCCATCAGCCGCTCCAAAGCCTTTTTTTGGTAAAGCAGGAGATGGCCAAAGGCCGGTCTTAGGGTGGCGCTTGTACAACGCACCCAGCTTCAAAGTCACTGGAGTCACTGGCTCGCGGACTCACGGTGCGAGGTCGGTGGCCCGTCAGTAGCTCTAGAGCTCCGCGAAGCGGAGTGAGCCAGTCTGGAGAGCGGGCTCCCAATATGGGCAGCCCACTCTTCAGAGTCAGAGAGTCAGAGCCTTGCTGCAGACCGGCAGGGCAAAAAGCTTTGCGCTGAGGAACCTGCCAGTTGGCCCATTGCTACAGAGACCTTTTGCAACTGAAGCTTCTTGAATTTCGATGCAGAGCAGAATTCTCGGACCCAGCTCCCTGTGGTATGCACACTTGGCCGGTCTTGGAGCATGGCTTAGCGGCTTAGCATTTTGGATTGAGGTCACTTTTTGCCGACAGCTCTCGCTATCATTTGCCGTCTTCTCACAGCTGTCAGGGATCAAGGGTGGAACTACGACAGGCTTCAAGATCCAACGATTCTATCGCATGGCTGCAGTAGCAGATGTAGCAGCCCTCCTTGCATACTTCAGTAGGACATGGATGCGTGGCTGCCCAGCCGTGTTGTACGCGCTACTGATCAGTGTGATGCTAAACTAGGTGCCTGTTCGATACGACCTTTGCAGAGCAGTATCTGGCCAGACCGTCGCCATGGGGGGCGCTTTGGACAGGCTTCAGAGTTGAGCAGTGCGCAAAAGCAAGGTCGTGCGACATGTGTAAACCCCCCCAAAATGATGCAGAAAGTCGTGTGGGCTCCTAACCAGTTCCGTGGTTTTAGGGTTCTGCCCGCATCTTTTGATGCTGCGGAGGCAGCTTGTAGGATGTTCAAGGGTCAGGAATCCAGGAGTTTCCAAGAATTCGGGGCCGCAGGTAGTCCTCCCCCAGAAAGAAGCTACATATTATGGGGATTCTTATTGGAAACCCAATCCTTCCTCTTGTATGGCAACACAGCGCAGGTGGGCGCCCGCCACCTTGGCCAGTGCTTACTTCGATGCGACGAGTGCAGCTTTTTGAGTCGTGAAGCCAACATGCCAGGCCTTGGATCTGAGCATCAGAGCTCCTTCAGCCCGCGAGGCCTGCATAGGGGGCGGTCTTGTGTCAGAATGAGTTTGGGACCTTCAGCTCCTAGGGCGCAGTAAAACTGAAACAGGAGGAAACGACAGACCTGGTATTCCTGAGAAGTAGATCCAGAAACATTCCAAGAACCTGATTGTGCCGCCAGGCCCTGGTCGTGGGGAGGCGGGGCTTTGACGGAGCAACCCTTCGAGTTACCTTGGGCTTTGCTACAGGAACAGCACGAAAGCCCCGGAGACGCAAAACAGTGGGATGGCTCTGACTGTTGGCAGGTCCATGCACTGGCACTGCCACTATGTATGACTTTCGGATGCATTCAGTCTGAATCTCGGTGCTGCTTACAAGAAGGACGTCTACTTGAGTATTTGCAGTCCAGGGTCTGCTCAACAGAGGTGCCACTAGCAAACCGCGGCACTGCGGCCCGCAGTATGCACAGCTCGCCATTCAATCGCAAGAGCCTAAAGATTGTGCAGTTGCGCATGGCGCAGCTGGATTTTCAGTTGAGGCTGCCTGCGCCTGCCAGGTTGGCGAATGCAAGCATGGAACCTTCTGCGTCCAACGCAAGCAGGTGGGCTTTCCGGCCTCGAACTCTACATGTCCTCTGCTTGGTTGGCTTTGCAAGTTCTCTTGCGTTTTGTGCTCTTGCAGGTGCTCTTGCAGACTGCGGCTGGAAGACATTTTAAGTCCTGGATTGCTGCGGTCCTAGCCAAGCGTTCATGCCTATCAGCTGTTCAACAAGTAGAGCCTCCAATGCTTTTCCACGAGGCTGAGTTGGTGAGACGGCATCGTTTCATAAATCCTATTGTAGATTCTTTGGTGTAAGATTCTTGCCGACTCTTGCCGACTTTGAGATGACCGTTTGTGGCATTGATCTAGAAAGGAAATTCAGAAGCCGAGCCATCCCTGGCAGCCCTGGCAAGCAGATCCCGTGTACCATAAAAGGTTGCAAATAGTTCCAATGTGACGCCAGCAGTTTTCAGGTCAACGTGAAGTTGCTTGCGCTCAGAGTAGGCACATAGGGCGGCTTACCCAGCCTCTGAAAAAGACAGATCGACAGCAGTGACAACCGTGACTGCGATCACAAGACCTCAACCGCGTATGCAGATGCAATATTGATACACGGAGACTCAGGCAAATACAGACACCAGTACCTCCGCCCCCCGCAAGTCTATCAGGAGCCTCAAGAGAATGAAGCTAGGCTCAAGCATTTTCATGTTTTTTGCCAAGCTCAAGGTTATTGCTCTCTTCGCGAGCAAATGCTCAGATGTTTCTTCTTCCTGGTCTCGGTGTGGCGGCATGTTGGCGCTGTGCGCTCCAACGTCGACGCTCTTACTGGAGCTCAGTTTGCGGACTCCGTGGTGAAGCCAAGTCACCTGAACCTCCAGCTGTCCTCTGGCGATCTGTCGGCAAATGAGGCAGAAGAGCTCCTGGAAGCCCTCGAACAGCAGCCCTTCATGAAAAAGAGTTTGCGGTTGGAGGTTAGTGGACTGTCAGCGAAGATCTCCAATTTATTGAAGAAGCTGGACTGGCAGGTGAGTTTGGTTGAGATGGCGGACTTGGATTCTGCATACATCAAGAATGCCACCGATAAGATGGAAAAAGCCGTCTACTTGAAGAACGCCACAATGGCCTCAGAAGCCATTGCAGAGCTTCAGACAACACGAAGTTTCAGTGTGACTTTCTTTGAAAGCCATGGCTTTGGGCTTCAGCACATTCCGATCTTGGCAGACGCGCTAGTGGGCATGCCACACTTGCGGAAACTGTCTTTGAGCATTTTGGATGCGCAGATCGGTGACGAAGGGCTGCAGCAGCTTTCAAAGGCCTTGGGAGAATTGGGAGACTTGGAAGATCTCATTCTTCGCTTCAGATTCATCAAGACTGCCGATGCTGGGGCCAGAAGCTTGGCAAAGGCCCTGACCGGGCTCAAGAAGCTTAATCGCTTGAACCTTGGCTTCTACCAGAGCAAGATTGGATCTGAAGGACTTCAAAGTCTCGCGACTGCAATAGGAAGCTTGCCTGACTTGTCAAAATTATCTTTCGACATTGGTGGGAATGAAGCACTCTACACACACAAAGCGGCAGACTCCTGCAGCCAGATCTTGAAGCCATTGGAACAGCTAAAGCAACTTCAAGAAGTGACCTTCTACTTGCAGCCCAATGGCTGGAATTGGGACGAGCGAGGAAGCTTCAAAACCGCCATGATCAAGCTGCTGCCGAAGTCAGTGAGAAAGGAATTCTTCATGTGAAATGCTCTCCTTCTCATTTCAGTCATCATGGCAGAATGGATTCAAAACAACATGATGCTCCCATCCAGCTGTGCAGTTGAGCATGACCGAGTCGAGTGCCGTGCTTCTTGTCCATGTTGAGGTGCTGGATTTCTGCCAAGTCTATGCATCTGCCGAAACCTCGTCCAAGAAAATTTGCGCTGAGCTTAGATTGATCTTTGATTAGACCTGATGCTGAGAGCCCTGTGAGCTGCAAATCTCACGGCGTATCGGAAGCAAACGAAAGTTACATGCTGTAGGCCAATGGCCTTGAGCTGGAGAGGCACCCCGAAACCCGAAAAAGCAAAGCATCTTTGGCTGCCCAGGCTGCAGAAAACCAGAGGTCGAATCCGGGAGGAAGAGGTCTGGGAGGAAGAGGTCGAAAGGGAGGTTTTAGGGTTTAGGGTTTTTGGGGTTTCGATGCGACCAAAGTTCTCGCTTTCAGAAGCTCTGCTTGGCGACTTCTCCAACTTCATGGCGCGGAGCCCCTTCGGCGAGATGCGCGCGCTGTATAGCTGTTGAGGTTTACACTCACCTTTTAATTTGAACGCTTCTTCCTGCAAAGCTTTTTTGCACTGGCGCGACTATCAGCCGAGCCATTTACCAAGCCTGGCGCATGCCAATGAGTCCTTGGACTCCATAAACATAAACACACTGGACGCGGAGGGTCTTGCTGCAAAAGCCCGAGCTCCCCACACGAGGCTGCGATGCAATGCGCAGGCGCACAGAAGCAATCGCTTGTGACGTCTTCTGGGCGCCCGCTTCTGATGTCAACAATGATATTTCATGGCAGGTAGCTAGAATTGCTGGCGGAAGAAGTCAGAGAATGGGAGCTGGTTGCGGAGATAGACGAGGCTGCAGAGAGGCCGTTGGCGCGCAGAGATTGCGTAGTCAGAGGCATAGAGAATGCACAGCAGCGCAAGAGGGCACATGCAGAGTGTTGTGCAGATGTCGATGCAGACCGTGCACGTGACGATGCGGGTGTGCGGCATGCTAGAAGCATCGACAAGTTGATTGAGAAGTCCTGCGGCCGACGGTTGAGAGCGATTGCGGTGGCTGAAGATGGGTGCATTTGGGCCTCGCAGCACCTGTTCGTCATGGCTCGGAATAGTTCGGCGTGGCGCCAGCTCCATGCACGGCATTGCCTTCCCCTCAACCACAGGCCGCCCTTGCTTGAGACGCGTTGCCCTTTTTCGTGGCCATATGCAAAACAGCGTTGCGCTGATGGTTGCGCTCTGCTATCATGCATTAATACGCATTAAGGTTGCTGTAGGCATGCTAGCTTAAGGTGCAGTGCAAAGGGT